CGTGTAGGTTACAGGAGTTTGTTTACTTACGTCGCCTAGATAGTGATGGACGACGCAGGCGAGCCTTTGTTCCGTTACCGCTTCGGTTACAGAGTCAACTATACGCACGCAGTTAAATGACGGCGAGATAATGACGGACGTGGCGCCGAAAGCAGACGGTCGCGCTTGCAAGACTTTTTACGTCAATTTTACGCTGACGGGGTGATGAATTAGGAATTGATCAGTTTCCCAATTTTCTGGTGACAAGTACAGGTGTTTCCTGTGGAATCCCCAGAGCTCTCCGCCTTGGGCGGAAACTGTTAAACTATTTATAGGCAGAGGTGTTTTACAGGAATATCCAATGGTGAACCGTTATATGGAATCTTTAATTTTTTGGCAGGTGGCATCTCTTTGTCTCCTCAAGTTACAAGGTAGTGGGTTAGGTCTTCCTACCTGTTACGTGTATGCTACGTGTGAGGAGCTTACGTTTATCTTTGACCAATTATATATAGTTTCCCCCAGCATTTTATTTCGGCTGACCAATTATCTGTAGTACACCACCAGCGTTTTGTTTCAAGGAATTTCTTGGCAGGGAAGTTTTTTAACCCTTAATAGTCAAATGAAGATGATTTGAATGGTATCTCTTGCTCAGTGGCATGGGCACAAGTTAATTGGGTTGTGACACGGTCCAGCTGAGATTGGGCTGTTAGAGCTGGTTATGCATGACCCCATTCCTGCACTTACTGCTACCCTGGTCCCAGTGGGGGAAACAGGTAGGTTGGGGAGCAGACAGGTTGTACATGCTGCTCTCTCTCCCTCCAGCAAAGTGGTGTGGGATGCTGGAGAACCAAGAGACCCTGTACCACTGCGGTGCTCTGGACACATGTTGTACGTGGCGCTCCAAAAGGTAGTATGACAGAAGTTCCCATTTCATCCAAGAACATTTCTGTAACATCTGCAACATTTGTGTAGAGCTGCAGGGGGTGTGCACATCCGGCTCTTCAGCTTTTGTAGCACTACAAATGTAATGCCAGTCCATGACCTAGCACTGGTTATATGTATGCCTTGTAGTTTTTGACTATGCAGCATCTGTCAAGCTTTAGTAACTTATCAGAAAAAATGTCTATCTAAATGACACGTCAGCATGATTGAAGATTTTTTTTTACATATACCATACCTTGAAGTTATAATTATAAATAATTTTAATTGCTGAGCATTTAGCTAGTTTACCTGTGCAGAATATAAAACGTTGCTATTTGGTTGTTTATGGGCACTGAGCTGATAATGAGTTTTGGGCACCAAACATATGTTTTGCATAATTATATGCTTATATACACATTGGTGTTCTGTATGACAGCGTAACTGAAAAGTATTTTTGTTGTGTTATTTTCTTTCCTATTGTGTTAAGTATATGTACATTTCTTTTACAGAAATGATGTTACTCTGGAGTTCTTTCAGAACTGATGAATTAAAATTGTGCTGTATACTGGATTTGCCCAGCTACATTTTTATATTATGAAAAAGGTCCTTAAGCTTAAATGACTGACTCCTGCAAGTCAAAAAAAATGTTCTCTTAGTTTCTGTTTCATTTTGTCTGCAGAGATGATAAGAAAGATGGGTTGAAGTTCTATACTGATCCCTCCTATTTTTTTGATCTTTGGAAAGAGAAAATGTTACAAGATACTGAAGATAAACGAAAGGAAAAAAGGAGGCAAAAGGTAAATAGGCAGCATACCATAATGAATGACATCTGTAAATATATATAACCATATATTTATCTGTATATTTGTCCAGGCTGATCTAGCTAAACTGTGCTTTACGTACTTAGAAAAGATCTTCTCCTAATTAGAAATTATTATAATTGTAGGTTTGTCATTAGAATTTATAGCTCATACTTTTTACTTGAAGTTTCAAAATTGAATATTAGAGAGCTATAGTTATCTTCCAGTAAGTTTGTCTTTGCAAATATCTTTTTAATACATAGAAGCAGCCTGTTTTACTTTATATAAAAAAACTGTTCTGAAGATGGTGAATGTTTGAATTGTAATGTTTTTATAATGTTCTTATTCTTCATAATTAAGGGGGTTTTATCCAGCAAATCCAATTCAGCAGCAGAATATAGACTTTAAGATAGTTCCCCTGAAAAATGTGTTATGCCCTTTTCAATCTTTAATTATACCTCTTTGATTTTATGATTCTTTTTGGAGGACTTGGTAAGTAGTAGCAAGGCTATTTCATGGATCAGCAGCTAAAGCAGATATACTTAGGAATGTCACTCCTTGCTGTTCCTCAAAGCCCTGTAAAAAGATTAAAGCTCTTCACAGAGGCATTTTGTAAATTCCTCCCAGTATGTTTAGGTAGTCCATCATGTTTAGAGACGTACTTCATTTGTGCAGAGGATATTCATATTTTATAGTGTTTTTAGTTTAGGATGAAAGGGTTTAGCGGATACCTATTTCTGTTGGATATCTATTTGCTGCTGATTGACTTTAGAAAGCTCCCAGAGGGTCATCAGGTGCTTCATACACTCTTGAGAAAGCAGAGAAAGAGGAAAGAAAATAGTAACTGCTTGTCTTATCTAGCAGGGTGCATCTTCCTTCCCCCTGTACCCAGGAGAGCTCCTATAAGGCTAACAGGTTCCAGAAGAAAAGGCTTCAGTCAAGGATCATCAGATTGGTTGCCTAGAGAGAATGTCTTGCCTCTAGAAAAGGGAAGGACCATCATATGGTGAATTTGGTCCTCTGATTTTTATAAAGTGAAATTCACTCCTTATGACTAGAATGATGCAAAACCATTTTAGCAGCAACTATTTTTTTTTAAATTAAGACCTGGGACAGCTGCAATATTTAATAAATTGGTATTAATTTTTCCTGAGTTGTTTTGATAGGAGAAGCTATAATTTATTCAGAACTTGTTTTAAACTTTTGATTAATTAAAAAAAAATTAATATAATTCAGTGTTAAAGATAATTAACACATTCTTTGAAAGCCCAAGTAAATCGTGTGTGCCTAATAGAACACTTCTGTAGTTATTTGTACTTCAAGTGAAACAAAAATTGGTTATTGGGTCTGCTTATGACTCCAGTGAGTTTCAGCATCAAAAATCACATAGTACATTCACTACACATCAGAATATTAATTTTAAGTGGAACTTCTCCTTTGAAATAAGGAGTAAAGGTAGGCCAGTTTCCATTCCTGTTAAGTCTTCAAGGAATGCTGCCATCAGAAAGGGTTTGCATGCCAATCAAGAGAAAGAAACAAATGGTGGTGGTAGCTTCATTCACCTGAAGGCTATTAGCCAAGGAACTGTCCCAGTAGTCATAGAATTTTTTTCCAGCATCAGGAGAACAGGTAGGTATCCTTTACAACTATTTAGAATGACACAGCCATTTTGGAAGTTATTGTTCAGATTCAGTAGAAGTGCCATGATGGCAAACAGGCTGCTAGAGTGTTGACTGAATTTTTAGAAGGTCCAGTTAATCTGATAGAGGAGACCACATTAAACAGCTATTTTAGTGAGTGTGATTTGGAGAGGAGGATCTTATTGAGTGATAGAAAATTCTGTGAGAAAGATAATTATTGCTGATTGCTTCAAAAATTGCTGTCTTTTTCCATTTTTCAATTTTCATTCCACATGTTTTGAAAAGAGACAATTTAACATTTTCATGAAAATATAAGTAAGATTTATAGAAAGTTCACACATTTTTATTGACTTTCATTTTTGGTTATTCTTTGTTTTGTTTTTTATATTCTACTGAAAAGCAGGGAGGAAAAGAAGTTGGAGTTTTGTATTTAAAAATATTTCCTGTGTTGTTTTTTTGTTTTTGTTTTTTGTTTTGTTTTTTAGAGAGCCTCTTTTCTGAAATAAATGTTTTATTTGAAAATATATTGACCATCTCTCAGGGAAGATCTTTTTTAAAATAGGAATTCCTTTGACTACATATTTTGGGACAGATTTTTAGATAATCTGCCTAATTTCTGAGTGTCCATAGCTTACTTAGCATTTAATTTTTAAGATTTTCTTAAGAGATCAACAAAATACTGATTCTGACCTAAAGCATACTTGATTAGGATAATTAAAATGAAGTTCATAGAAATTCAGTTGGATAATATCAATATTAGTGCAGTCTAAAAACAAATTATCCATCCTCAATGAATACTTGAGCAATTGAAGAATATCTTAACTTTCTTGAAATAAACTTTCTCTCATATATAGATTGAGAGAGAAATTGCTATTGTGCTAAAAACATATCTAAAAAGTTGCCATTCTAGTAAGTAACCCAGCATTTTGTGGTGTTTAAATAATTACAACTTCTATGTTAATAAGATTTGTAAGACTTTTTAATATTTCTGAAATCTGTATGATTAACAGAATACATTCAATTTGGAGTCTGAATAGCAAAGGCAAATACACATTATTTGTATTGATTTATATTTTTTATGGCTGATGTTGCAGTCAGAAGGTAATATGAATTTCATAAATTACTTCTGTTTTATAAAAGTACAATCTCTGAATGAAGTACCTAAAGGAAAATAAGTGTATGATGTACACCAAATAGAGTGGTATTTTAGGGCACCTATATATGTGCAGTGGGGCTACTCTAATGTGGTGTAATTACAGCGAATCAGAGCTGACTCCAATGTCACATGTATCAGCATCCTTGCTCTGCAAAAAGGCTGCGGGGGGGCACTTATAATTAAAGCTTGTTCAATGAGCTTTAGTTAAAGCAACCCCGCCACCATTTTTCAGCATCGGGATGCTGATGCGTGTGATGCTCCAGATGCTTTAATTAGAAAGGGTCTTGGAGCCTCTCTAAAGTGCTCCCCACCTGCCACCACTCCCGTAGCATGTGCATAAATGCCCTTAGAATTTAATTTGTTATGGGTTTTAGCCTTAACTTCCATTGCAGTTGGTGAGGAATAAGGATGCTTGTCATCTCACAAGATGTTCAGAGAATGTGTGGGCAATTGCATGCATAGTTGAGATACTGGAAGAGGAAGTTCTTGATATATTTAACTGCCCATCTTGACTGTGACCTTTATTCAGCATTTCCATATTCTACAGGATTAGAAAACTCTCACAAAGATAGTTGACTTTCCTGTTAAAATTTAATAGACTTTTTCAAAAGTTGTTGTTTTTTTCTCCAAAGAAAAATATAACTCTTATTCTCCTTGCATTTAGAACCTACAATAAAGTCTCCTATTCTGCACTTTGGACACAAAATAGGATAGATCACTGGACTGCAAGAGATTTCTATATTTATCAGGGTTTTTACTTTATTGTTTTTAAACTTACAATCAGATTCTGCATCAAATAATGTTCGAGCATTAGAAGCGCTGACAGTGGTGGGAACAACCCCCCCCCCCCCCCCCCCCAAAAAAAAAAAACAAAACAGCGCTTTACTGGAAGAGGAAGCACATTATTTTGATCCTACTCGCCCAACATCTGTATATGTTGGGCACTTCAGCAGAGCTTTTTGGCACTTTAATCTAATAGCTGATTCAGTCAGCACCAAAAAGCCCCAGAGAAAAAAAATTGGCATTTGAAAGAGTAAGCAGCCTAAGAGCAGTTATCAATGGTCTTTTAAACAAAAAATACTTTTTTCCCCTACTCTTCAACTTTTCTCCTCCTGAAAATAACTTAACTTACTTTCATAATTGTAAAGACTCTAGCCCATTATTTTTTATTATTATATTTAATAAGTTGTTTGATATAAGATTTTATATTATACTGTAGAATGGGAAAAGCAATAGTTAATGTATAGTTCATTAAGTGCATTTCTGAAGTCCTTGAAAGTATTGTCAAGACCCGCTGAAGCCACTTCCTTTTATTAACTCTTGCTCTTCAATACTGATGCTTTGTATGAGTCCCATTTGCTAATCATTCTAATGCAAATATTATGTTGAAATTAATTTTCCCTCCCGGCTGAGGTTGCTAACATCTGTTATGTTTACTGAAATCATTTTTCCAGTAGTGAAACAATATGCCCATTCCCATTCCTGTGACTACTGAGCATTCACTTGCCAAAAAACTGAACCATTTGCATTACTTTATTCAAAATGAGTAGTCAGAGGTTGGTAGGAGGAGATACCTTGAGGCTGTGGAATATTAGTGAAAGCCTCGAACCTCGCTAGATCAACAGAAATGGGGAAAAGGAAATAATGGACTAGTTGGATGTGAAGCTCTAAAGAAAAATCTCAAGTACATGAAACATGCTGATATGTCCTGATAGCTTCATGATAAAATAAATCATTGAACTAAATATTACTGGTACTTTGCAAAATATGCTTCATACAGCTCATTTCCTATATATAAGATACTGTGAAATGTGATTGATGAATGAGTGGGAAGGACTGATTTTTTTTTTTTTTTTTTTTTTTCCCCTTATCTGTCCCCTTCATATACAGATGAAGAATAAATAAGTTATGAAGATTTGGGTCTTGCTTTTGTATGTGAGACTAGCTGTAAAGAGCTCTAACTGTTTCCATACTTTAAAAAAATGTAGGTACTTTATAGTCATGCAAAGCAATTGATAGGCATACAGTGAACAGGAATATACTACATATATATACAAGATTGATCTATAGGTCTAACAAGTATGCGGTATATTTCAGAATTGTCTAGACAGATAATTACCATGCACTGTTGGGAGAAGTAAAAAAAAAAAAAAAAAGGTACTGTATCTTTAAAAATTAGTGACAATCTGTCAGAGCTTTCCAAACTTTTCATGTTGGTGACACTTTTTAGACATGCATCATTTCGCGACACAGTAATTCAGTTCTGGGGGAGGAGCCAAGGGAAGCAGACGCGAGTAAGGGAGCTCCGCGGTGCCCTTCCGCAAAATTTTCTGCATTTCGCGCGACACACCTACACACTGCCGCCGACGCACTGTGTCGCGGCGCACAGTTTGGAAAGCTCTGATCTATGTATTTGGGGGGGAAAATTAAGTGAAGATCATTGCACTAACGTTTAAATTTCTAAAAAACACAGCAACTCTTTAATGAATAAGATCAGTACTGTCTATGGCAGGGGTGGGCAAAATGTGGCCCCCCAGGCCATTCTATCTGGCCTGCAGGGCCCCTAAAAAATGTAGAAAATTAATATTTTTCTGCCCCTGGCTGCCTGTTACGTGGCCCTCGATGGCTTGCAAAAACTCAGTTAATAGCCCTCCACCCAAAATAATTGCCCACCCCTGTTCTGTGAGGTTCCTCTTACAAAGCAATAGTCACTTGGATGGAAATTTTTTGTAGACTTGGCTGCATCTGTAAATCTAGTCCTTATTTTCATGCATTCTAACTGCATTTTAACATGCTCTTTTCCTTTCCTTTTTTCTTTCTTTTGCATGCTTTCTTTCTCTCCTTTTGAACATTAGGAGCAAAAACGTATAGATGGCACAACCCGGGAGGTGAAAAAAGTTAGAAAAGCCAGGAACAGGCGCCAGGAGTGGAATATGATGGCATATGATAAAGAGCTTAGACCTGACAACAGGTTGTCTCAAAATGTGTACCATGGAGCATCTTCCGAGGGATCACTGTCCCCAGATACTAGGTCTGTTTACAACAAAGCCCTTTGTTATACCATAGTTGAACCATTCAGGGACGCTGAGTATCCTCAGGTTTATTACACATTGGGTACGTAACAATTAATACAGAAAAAGCACAAAATAAAGATTTCAAACAGCCTCTGAAAATATTTTAAAGCATTGTGTGACATAACACAAATTCTAATCTCTTTTAAATTTCTATATTCATGCCTGTTTTTTTGTTATCAGAATTTGTTAATTCCAATATTCAGCCTGCCACGTTTTGCTTTTGAATTTTTAGTAGGTGTAATTGCAGAAAGATTTAGATCTGCATTCAGTTGATAGCATCACTTCCTCTTCCTTCATTTTGTTTGGCATATTTATTGCTACCAACAGTTTCATACATACTTTTTTTTGTTCAAGATAACTTAATTATTTCAGAAACTAGTAATCTGTGAGAACTTTAAGTGCTTTTGTGTTCAAATAGTAAGTATTTTTAAATATTCAGTGATATACATGGTTTTACTTTTAATAAGGTATTGAAATTGAGTATTCATTTGAGTATTAGATGTTCTTTATCAGTATTCTGCTTGTATATGCACAAGCTACCAAAACAGATGCATTGTGATTTTTCTTTTTAAAGCAAATTGCCGTAGAAAATGCTTTCCTCTGATGCACACATCAGGACTCATTTTCAGTGTTCTGCTCCTACTGTGTGTTAGAGACATCCTTTGAGCTCAGTGGGAGATCCATGCACACAGGGAGAATGAACATCTGAGCCTGTTCAGCAAGCAGGTCCCACTAGAAATTTTTTCCCTTAATGTTTGTTCTGTTTGTTGTATTTAATTGCTGGTAGAAACAGATTCACTAAATAAGTTAGTGGGATCTGGTGAAAAAACAGCTATTTCATAATTCAGCTAAGTATTTAAGCTGTTTATTCACTCTGGCTAGCAAAAAACACTGAGTAAGAATTGGTTGATATTTTTGGTTCACTACCAAGGGAATCTGCTTAGAACCTTAGTTCTTTAATGTTCAGGGATTTTTTTTTGTGGGCTGTAGCATTCTGACATTTAATTTTAACCCCTTGAAAGTAGAATTGCTGCTGTTTTGTTTCACAAATGTCTTCAGAAATCTCCCCATCTATATTTTCACCATTTTATTTTAGTTTACCTCAGTTTCTAATGTAAATGTCTAATATATCCTGGTAATTACGCTATTTTTTTTCTCAGTGGATCTCTCAAGTTAATGGTTTTAAGATGTTGATATAATAGGAGGATATTAGTGCCTTTGGCTCAGCTGCAAGTGATTTTCCTCTCCAAGCTGCTTTTTTCACAAATTCCAAGTCCAAATGTAGGCCTAGTAACAACCATAAGATTAAATAGTCACATTCAAATTATTTGTTTCTCTGCCTTTTCACCTCAAGTATTGTCAAAACACATGTTCATGGTTCTCTGTGCACAGACGTTTGAAATGTCAAGAAAACAATCTCAGGGAAAGAATTGCAGTGTATACCTTTCTTAAGCGTAAAGTGTAAAGACTTATCATTAGGCGTTTGGAGGGTGGTGTTGAATGGGTGGGGGAAAAAGGATTTATATGTACCATTCAGTTCATGGCATCAAAATCGACTATTTAAAAAATTAAAAAATGATTTATTAAATTTAAATCAGACTTTTTATTTGTTTAATTTAACTTTTATAGTTAAATTTTCCTTTAAAAAAAAAAGTAAACCAACTTAAAATGAGGTGTAAATTTAATACAGCATAGGCTAAAGCATATATTTAATATAATTTATTAAAAACATTTAAATAAAATATCTTTAGTCAATGAGCCTCTACCAAAACAACTGGAGTTAAGGGTTTATTTTCTTTTATATGACAATGAGGGCAAAAATATCTAACTGTTGAGGTCGAGCTTTAAAAATACGTATTAGGGGCTTGACCCTGCAAGGGATGTAGGGTCTGTACTACTGAATATAAAGGATCAGCAAAGTCATTACTGGCCCCTGACTCCAGCAGACACCATCATATGTACTCCTTGATCAGGATTATCCACTGAGCCCACCTGGATGGTATCAAACTTCGGTGTTATTCCTTCTACCTGAGCTCTGTTTAGCTCAGCTCTTAAATTATAAATATTTTAATATTTTGCACCCATAATGGAGGCTTATTCTCATGAAAAACCAACCATCTATTCAGTAGCTACTAACCCCCTGCTCTAAAGAAAGAGGGTAAACATTTTTAAAATAGCCTCAGTAAAAAAAAAACCGACTCTCTCATTTTAAAGAAAATTAGGCAAATAGGAACTTAAGCTATAAAGACTTTCACCTAGGCATTTTAGAAAATTTTCCCCTGGGTGGCCTGAAAGAATTGCTTTAATTCACTAACCACAGTTCATACTTCTAATTCTATAACAGTTAACACTAGTGTTTAATGAATCACTAAGTTGTAAATGTGCATCATGTTCTGATTTAAAAAAAAAAAAAGTTTCTATATCCAAAATGTGTTTAATACATTTGAAGTGCTGGTTTTGCGTGTTTAATTAAATTTAAGTTGCCATCTTAATACAACTTGTTATGAATATGAGCAAAAAGTGAACCATCTAGTGAATAAGTGGTGTATATTTCACCATTTTATACTAAAATGTAGGATTGTACCACCATTTTATACTAAACTGTAGGATTTCTAACAATTCAAATGTTAGAATGTTATGTTCAGCTGCATATTATATACGTGTGAACATATGTGTAGTATACGATATATATGTATGTGTATGCAGTTTTTATACCTAGAGAATATGTCACCAGACCTACTGTAAAAACTGTATTTAGTTGTAAACTAACATGCTTTAATTGCTATATCAACCAATGAAAATACACCTTTCTTTAAACAAACACAATATTCACTGGGAAACTTGATTTAAAAAAACAGTTATTTAAATGAGCCTTTTGACTTGCTGATTTAAATCTGTGATTTAAATTGATCTACCCTGGTTCTTGGTATGACAGTATTCTATGCTTCAGAATTTTAAAGTTTTATATTATGCAGAATTAATTTTTGGCAGATATGATTTAAATCATATTTTAGTCATTGTATCATGGAATTTCCATAAAATGTACTGAGAGTTAATTTTGTGACCAAAGATTAGGATGGGAAGGTGATTTAATAATTTGTATAAAATACTATTTTAGTTTGATCTATTATTTAGAGAATAATTGGAATGAAGCTGTAGGATTGTAGATGGTATTTTTACATTTAACAAGCTCAAAAACATTGTCGTATGGTGATGAGTGCCATGGAGATGTTTATAAATACAATGCTTATCAATCAATATTGCCTAAAGTAAATATCTTCATGTTGCAATGTTGACATTAAAAGACAAAAAAAAAAATTCCTATTCCTTTTGTCTTGCTTTAGCTGAATGCTGAGGTTAGGCAATTATTGTTAGTGTGATGTCCCAGTCAAAGTTGCAAAGTTTAAAATTTAAGTTTCCAAACTGTGGCAGCCTATTTCAATGCATCTGTTTTGCTTGTTGTGCTTTAGAGGGAGAAACACAAGTTGAATCCAAACAGAAACCAGCAAATTAATGTGAGAAAAGTAAGAACAAGAAAAGAAGAGTGGGAGAGAAGGAAAATGGGCATTGAGTTCATGAGTGACGCAAAGAAATTGGAGCAGGCAGGAAGCATGAAAGAAGACAAAATGCCCAAAGGGTTTGTCATTTTTTTTGCTCAAAGCCCTGGCTTTTTGTTGCTTACCTGGCTTCCAGTCTTAAAGATGATAAGTGCATTAGTCTACTCTTTTAACTAAATGCCAGGCTGCACAGTTGCCTGTTACTAATACAGTACAGCTGCATGCAGTTGTGAAAGTAAGAGATCTTTTGCTCCCTCTCTTGGGCTTTTATGACAAAACATCTTACACTTTGCATTTTTATGAACTCTCTGCTCGACTAATATTTGCATTTCTCGATTTCTCTCAGTCTTTCGAAGAAAACAAGAAAACTCTTAATAGCTTTTAAAATTGGTTCTCTCTGCTTTGGTAATGTATAGTCTTCCATATAATTATGACTGCTCACATCGTTGCTTTCTTTTTCTGCTTCCATTATTAATACCTAGCTGGTTGGCCTGCAGTTATATAATTTGTAATTATCAAAAAATGCTATAAATATGAGGAACAACTGAAAAAATACTCTTACTAGTTCTGCTTCTTCAATTTGATTTGTTTTAGAGTATTTTGCTGCAAAGTTAATATGCCAATGTGTTGAAAAGAAGATACAGACCCTACAGATTAGGATTTAGTTACTCTATAATAGTTTATTAGATTAATTCATTTTAATGTTACATAAATCTGAGCATCTTTAGCTGTTGCCATAACAATTGCTGCTGTTGTGGTTTCCATGGACTGACAGATGCTTGAAAATGAAAACAGGGAAAGCTGTTTTTATACTCTTATACTCCTTAGCACTCATATAATTTATTTTTCCCCATCCTATTGACTTTAATTGTAGGTCACATGCATCTGACGTTACAGATTATTCTTATCCTGCTACTCCAAATCATTCCCTCCATCAGCAGCCAGTAATGCCTTCATATGGAGCAGGAGATGGTCCACAGTATATGGGTGTATCCCAGGGCCATGAACATGAATACAGACCACCTTCTACAACAGTGCGACATCCTACCTTAAACAGACCTCAGCAACCACCTCCACCTCCACCCCAGGCTTCAGATAGTTCACACAGCTCTGTACCTTTGGTACCAGCAGACTATGGGTAAAACTCCTGTTTTTTACTGTTGTGGGTTCTTCAAAAGACCAATAAGATGTGCATTTTTCCTTTTCCTAATACCCTGTACAGGTTATTTTACATGTTCAAAACGTGATGTAAGTTCAGGTGGATAATAATCTCTCATTCCAGTATAGAAGTATGAACATCCAGATCAGTGTTATGAACTTAACTTGGGTGGTGAGATGCCAAAAATTGAAATACTGAATAATGTATTTAATATGGTTACGTTAGTAAGGCTGTAAATACTAAAAGTTTCCAAAGCATTTCTAAAACATGGGATAACGTCAAGAATGTCAACTATTGTTATGAGACAGTTCATTGAAAAATATTCAGGGCTGCAAGGAAAATGTAATGGAGCGTGATGCATGCGAAATGGAAAATACTTTTATATATATATGAGAGATAAAATGGTTCTTGAGGGACATAAGACTAGAAGTGTCATCTTTGCTTGTGGAGTCCAGTTCCCTGCTGCCACAGACAACTATGTCAATAAATCTCATTTAGAAACATCAATCTCTGTGTTTAAAACTAGTTAAGTTATTGCCTTGCTCCCATTTTGGTGGAAAGGTTGTTCTAGAATCTCATTCCTCTGCTGCTTAGAATCCTTCTTCTAATTTCCATCCTAAATGTATTCTTGGCACATCTGTTTTTGCCACCAGCGTCCTTTAGCTTAAATAGCTATTCTTCCTCCTGAGTATTTAGCCTAGGATTTATTTTTAGAGAGTAATTGTATCTCCTTTACTACATTAAGCAATCTAAGCATTTTTGTCTCCTTTAAGAACGGCTCACCTTTCTCCTGATCATCTTAATAGATGGCTGCAATTCTGTCAGTTTATTCTTCTTGAACATGAGTGACCAGTTTTGTTCAGTTTTCAGATTAGATATTACTAGTGCCTTGTACAGCAGCATTCATACTTCTGTAACCAGATAAACTTGGTTGGATGTAGTATATCAGACTTAACTGATTTTGGTCAAACCTGTTTATGAAACTTCTGTCCCAGATCCCCTCCTGGTTCAAGTTAACTTACAGTTCCCCAGTATCCCAGGATGCTTGGCAGCCCTGCACTGTGCTGTGTGTTCCAGCGGGGCAGGGCTGCCCTGTTTCTGCTCCCTAGCCAGAGCAGTATCACTGTTGTGGCTGGCAGAGAAGGGTGTGTGTGGGGGGAACCCCAGTACTGGCCCGCCAGCTGCGGTTTGGTGAGGGGTGGGGGGAGCCCACAGAAGGTTTTCCTTCACCCAAGCTGGGAGCCCTGGCTGTGGCCAGCAGAATCACCCTGGGCTCCTGTCTGGGACCCAGCTGGGCTGGTTGAGGAGGAGGTTGGGGGGACGTCTAGGCCAGCACCAGATCCCCAGCTGTGGTCTGCTGGGCACGTGGTGGAGGGAGCCCATGGAGGCTTCCCCCGGTCCCGAGCCAGGAGCCATGGATGTGGCCAGGGGAATTGCCCTGGGCTCCCCAGCTGGGGCCCAGGAAACCCCCCAGGCCCAGCAGTGGACCCCCAGCTGGGGTCTGCCTGGTGCGAGGGAGGGAGGGAAGCCCACAGACCCCAGCTTGGGGGTCCAATGCCAGGCCAGGGGGTTCTCCCACCCCCTCCTTAGCTGTCTGGCTGGGCCCCAGTCAAGAGCCAGGGGCAATTCTCCCTGGCCACACCCCTGGCTCAGGTTGGGGTGGGAAGGTAGGAGAAGCCTCCGCAAGCTTCCCCACCTGTGCCAGGCAGACCCTGGCTGGGGTCTGTTGCTAGGCCAGGGGTGATTTCCCTGCTGCTTCTGGTGCGTCAGTGTCCCGGGGAACAGACACTGTGCCGCCCCTCCTACTCCTCCCCTGTACATCCTAGAGAGTACAATCCCTTCCAGTTATATTGGATTACATGTAACCTTTATTAATTTATCAATAAATTTGCCATGGCCCGAAGTGGGACTTGGCGAAACTGGAAGTGGGACTTCCAGTTTCACTTTTGCTGTGTTGACCAGCATGCCGGTTAACGAAGTGCCAGATAACATGGCTTTTACTGTAATTTAGAGAAACGTGCAAAGATTGATTCAAATTCAGCGTGGAGCTTTTTGACTGTCTGCACTTAGCTCTTGATTGTTTCCAACTGGTATATTCCCAATTTATAGTAAAAAGTCTTGTTAGTCCTGAGGGCTATGACAGTGCCCTTTTTAAACTCTTAAATCTGATCCCACTTCTATTTCAGTCCTCAAGATCTTTGTGAATATTTTTTGATCCACATCTGTATTCACTGTGCTTCACAATATTTCCATCAATGAGTTCACTACCACTTTTGATGCAAAGTGCAAATTAGTACATAAGATCTCCCTCCAAACTAGTCCTTGAGAATGCCACTAATAACTTCCTTCTATGCTGAGAGTTCTCCTTTCAGTACAGCCCCTGTTGTTTCCTCTTGAGCCAATTTCTTGTGTACTTAACAATTCTTAAGATAATTATTGTTTTCTCCTAGTTAATATTATCTATATGATACCGTAATTAATACTTACCAAAGATCTTACTCCATTTCACTTGTTTAAATAGTCAGTTATCAAGGAAACAGATCTGATTTATTTGGCATGATCTACCTGTGATAGACCAGTATTGTATTTTATATAATTGTCCATTTTTATTTTTGTATCTTTTATTAACACAAATTTTGAAGAAAGGAATAGTATTGGGTGCTATGGAAGGCAGATTATCAGGTCTGGAGTTGTCCTGATTTGACAGATTTATTGAAAATCTTCACTACTGAACTTGTAGCTTAGTAACAAATACATATATATACTTACCTCACGGAGGTATTGGAGGCCTGAGATGCTATAATACAGTATTTGTAAAGTACTTTTAATAGGAAAAGTAGCATATGAAGGTTGATCTTAAATTTCAACAGTCTTAGTGAACCTGTGTTTGTAATATGCTCTCATCTTGGCTTTATGATTAAGTCATAAGAAATCAGTGAGGAAGAGGAGGACCTGCCTTTTGTACTAACTGTTTTTCAGGGACATGAGCGAGGTAGTTTAAGATTGCATTTGGACACCTAATAGGTGGACTAGGATCTAATCCTTCATGTTTAAACTTTTTTATTTAGAAAACCACTCTTGTTAACAAGTACTTCCATGGTTTAATTTTTTTTTCTTTCTCTCTATCTCTGTCTGTCTTTGTCTGTCCGTTTGTCTGTCTACATATATATATAAAAATAATATATATAGGATGCTTCCAGCTCAGATAGTGGATTATTACAATCCTACAGGACCTCCCCCTCCTCCCCCTCCCCCTATGATTCCTTCAGCACAAACTGCTTTTGTTAGTCCTCTTCAGCTTCCTGTGCCACCGTCTCATTCTGGACTTGTGACTGGATCTACTTATGCTGCTACTCCTCATCCTCCTCCTACTGGGCTAGTTGTTACAGCTCCCCCTCCTCCTGGCCCTCCTCCGCCGCCGCCAGGCCCTCCTGCTGCAGGTTCATCTCTCTCTTCCTCCCCAATGCATGCTCCTCCTGTTGCTGAGACAAAACGACATGAAACCGCACAGGCACCAATCAGTGATGCTCGAAGTGATCTTCTTGCCGCCATTCGTATGGGTAAGTAAATATTGAGAAAGATTGAAAATTATTCCTTTTTGCATGGTGTGGCATCACCTAATGATTTGTTATCATGGCTTCTATTGCCAGCTATCCATAATTTCATCTTCTGTTTGGCTGAGGGAAATACTTTGTTGCTGCTGGCCCATCCTTGGTATTCTGACAGTTTCTGCTCCTTGGGTATGCAACTTTAGTTTTTCTTAGCGTTACCCCATACTCATTGTCTGCTTTAGTGTGGAGAGTATACACCAGTGGTTCTCAACTTTTTTAGGCTCCAGGCACCTCTCAGAAAGTGCCAGTTCTTTAAATGTTCACTCATTTTTTATTACAGAAAAATAATAGAGCAATTCTTCTGTTGCAAAATGCTCAGAAAAGACCACAACAGGTCAGAATGTTTTTAACTCTTGAAAGAATCTCCAGGCACCCCCTTGCAAGGTTCTCAAATCACTGCTACCTGCCAGGTCCCATGCTCTAAGGCTTGAAAATTATTAGAAATTATTATTTTTGTTTATATGAATACAATCAAATGATAACATGTCCTGTGATGCAGTGGGTAAATATACATGTTGCGAGAAACCCCTTACAGGAATTACAAAAGCCATATGTAAGTTACAGGGTAGTAGATGTTGCTTCTTTACAAGTTAAACAAATATAATGTTTGTTATGCCCTATGTTCAGTAATCTTTGTGTTAAGAAACCACAACCCTTAATGTTTTCAGACACATTTTGAAACTGGTCATTCTGAGAGCAAATGCCTTGCATTCATAAAAAGCTTTCATTTCAGCCATAACAGACGATCATGAGAAGGTTACAGGCACTGGCTCCTGGGCAATTGACTCCAATCCACTTGGTCTTTTTATTTGTCTCTTACTTGATCAAGAAATTTTCAGACCTAAATGGTGTACCTTCTCTGTACTACTTAAATATAGCTGTTAAACTTGCTTCTGCATTTTAGGTATTAAATTACATTTTATGTGCAGCAAACTGTTTCTGAATTTAACTGTCTGTCTACAGGAATTCAGTTGAAAAAGGTACAAGAGCAACGTGAACAGGAAGCAAAGCGAGAACCTGTTGGAAACGATGTAGCAACTATCCTTTCAAGACGCATTGCTGTGGAGTACAGCGATTCTGATGATGATTCTGAATTTGATGAAAATGATTGGTCAGACTGAGATCTGTTCCATGTGCTATAGCAAAATTCATGACACTTAGCTTAAGTGGTCATGGTGTTAGTGGGATAGAAGTCTGGGTGTTGATACGTATTACAACTAATGATCTAAGCACTAAAAATGAATTGGTATTATTTGGAATGCTGTAGCTTAACAACTCTGGTAATAATAATAATGTGATTATGCTTATACAGATCCAAAAATTTTCTTACTTTCAGTATTTACTGCATAATACTTAAGTGCCACTAAATGTAGCAGATCATGTGCTGCACACAAAGTAGGCTGCAGTTATTGCACTGTTACAAAACCAGCATTTTGTTTTGTTTTCTTGATAATGAAGGTATATGGCATATTTTTACTTTACATTTCTTATTCTATATAATTTTGCAGACCTATTTTGTACTTGTGAAGCTGTCTGGTTGTTAGTCATTTAAGTCCTTGAAGGTTATTGACACATGACTAAAAGATGTCTTCAGGTCCTTACATTTTACCTTTCTAACATTTTTCAGAAGTTATGACTATCTTGAAATACAAGAGATAGTAAATAAGGGTGATTATAACAAGTGCAGAGGTTGTTCCAATGCGCTGGATTAATAGTCTGCTGGAGTGTAGCAGTTGCTGCGCTCCAGCAGCCTCCTGCATCTTGTATATCAGCATCCCCCGTGCTTAAAAATGGTGGTGGGGACACTTGAACTAAAACTCGTCAAATGAGCTTTAGTTCAAGTGTCCCCGCCACCATTTTTAAGCAGAGGAGATGCTGATATACAAGACACAGCAGTGCTTTAATTAGAGTGGCGCTCAGAACCGCTTTAATTAAATGCTGCTTCCCTCACCCCTGGAGGGGTGTTAAAAATATAAAAGTGGTACATGTAAAAGTGCCCTAAATGTTTCTCTGCAATGCTCTTTTAAGTCAACTCTTGACTTAGTAGCTTGCACATGTATTTGGATTTGGAATTTTTAGCATTATATAATGTTAATTTTCTTTATGCATTATAGCTGTTTGAAAGTCTCAGTTAGAATATAAGTTTTGAAGAGTAAATTCTTAGGGTTTGGTAATTATTTTGGGAGCAAGATGCTTACTAGGATTTTAGCTCTAGGTTGCTGGCAGCTGGGTTGATAGTATGAGAAGGTGGAACCGTGAAGTCGGCACAGAAAAATTTGCCCCTCTGCTATTATTGCTAAGCCTGTTTCAGGGCTGTATGGAACAGTTTTAGTCCAGTGCTAGCATTCAGATACATTTCACAAGTATTAAACTAAGTTTTTATTTCTATAGCTATAAATGTTTGTGGATAGGACTTGATTATATTGTATGTGAAGAGTCATGTAACATTGCTTTCACTTTCTTATAGCACGCTCATTGAAGGTCCTTGATTTTCTTGAATGTATTTCTATCCCAATATGTTCCATTTTATATAACTGGCAATGAACATGGTTTAATTGTTTAGATACGATGCTGTATATATTTTCATTATTTTTTCCCCTAGGAAAAGGGACTGCTATCCACTCTGCTTTTGCTATCTCTGTTCCCTTTAAATATAATTCATAGCTTATTCAATACAGTATTGAAATTTTAATTTTTTTCTTCATATACTGTGACTCAGGCTGCTGCTTTGTCTAATACGGCTTTTTGGTGGAGCAGTGGGCTAGAAGAGGGAGAAGAAGAGGGGGTGTGTGTGTGTGTGCGCGCGCGTGCATGTGGGGGTAGCAGGATGGGAGGGAGGGAAGAAATGGTCTTTTTTTCTCCTTACCAGGTTACTATTTTAATCTTTATAAAAGAAAAAAAATCAGTGTAATTCTATGTCTAATATTTGGTAAAGCTCCTTTGTTCTGCAAGGCCCTTCTGTTCCTAAAAGGAAGAAAAGAATTTATATCCTAACCATTTATTTTTACCCACTCTGAACTTCCACCCCTTTTCATCCCAGCCCATGCACAAGCCTTGTCTAAAAATTTTGTCCAAAGAGAATTTTGTTTTTCACAAAATTTACTTGAAAATTATTGGCTACTTTATTACTGTTTAAGGAGTTTCTGATTTATGAGAATCTTGCATTATAGTAGTCAGGCAAAAATGCCTTTGCCTCAGTGTTTGTGTTTCACTGCCCATAAGGGCCTTATCCTTTCAGATGTGAGCAATGGGAGCATAATGGTGAGCCACCAGAGCTCCCATTAACCAATGAGAGCCAAAGATGCTCAGCTTCCTATAGAATTAGGTATATATTTGTCTTTGCCTTAAAACACAGGGATAAATTCTCCTGTTGATTTTGTGCACTGAGGTCTATAGGTGTGCACATTGCAGGACAGAACACTTGGACCATACCTGGTAGTGGTTCTTCATTAACATGCAGAAGACAGTGTTTGTGTTGGTCACCAGGATATAGTTATACAGTAGCTTGCAGAACACAATGATATTTTGTGGGGTGAGCAAATAGATAAAAATGCAACTAATACTGCAGTGTTATGTCACTGTATGGGTGGGAGAAATACTTTCCATAGTCTTTTTATATGTATCAAGATAAAATAGCACATTACACAATTCTTTCCATTCTAATGAAATTTGATATGATAGAAAATATATTTTATGAACACAGTCTGAATGACCATCATGGAAACTTTGTAATTTGCATTAAGTAATTTTAAAATGATAATCTGTGATCAGTTAAGGATAATTGGGATTTTTCAGCCACAGTAGCCAAACCGTTTTTCTAAACTTGGGAGTATTGTCATTTCCTTTCAGTATTTTATCAGTACAAATGTCAATTAAATTTAGTGATGTAAACTAACTTAATCTTAGGTCATTTTTATCTGTTTGTATAGCTTACTCTGGATTGTGCAAATGTAACAAATATGAATAAAACCTCACTTTTGAGCCTTGTTTTTCTTTCCTTAAACTACAGAGTATAAGTTTTGCTGTTAACTTATCATTGGCTTTTGGTAAGTTGGTTACTAGCATAAATGGTAATGTGATACTTTTGAACTACTCTTAGTGAAGCTCATATAGTACTTCACATTTTTTGCATAAAGAGATGGAACAATCAGGATTCTTAATCATCATTTTTATAAAACTCTTCCCGAGAAGTTGTCTCATACAAATAGTTATATAAAATCAGGCTTTATGTTTTCCTGTGGCCAAAAGAAAATATACCAAAGAATGCAGAAATGAAATTTATTTGAAGTTTCTTTAGAACGTAAGAAAATGCCTTTTGAATTGAATTAATTTTGCCTTAAGAAAGCCGTCCAAGACTTCCTTTTCAAAAGGAGACATTAGATATATGCATGTATGTGTTATGCTTACACAATATTGTCACCATGTTAAGACACATAGATGTATAGTTTTAACCAGCTGTTAAACATGGGAGAGGAAGGGGGTGAACATGGTGTACTGCTCCACCCATGGCCCTGGAGACACCATTGCACTGGTGCACTGGCTTGAGTCTAACTGAAATGTGCTACCATTCTGTCCTCTGTGAAAACAGATTTTTGTGGGGATTGCAGCATCCTTCAGACAGGAGGGGGCACTTTGGGGCTTCTGTTTCTCCTGCCCCTTTGGTTTAAACAGCAGTAGACACAAATGTTTGGCTGGTATATAAGAAGATACCACTTTCTTCAGTGGCATTTCTATTCCCCTGGTCAGTGTGGCAGTAAATACTTGGGCTTTGCCCAGAATAGAAGTGTGCGCCATATGGCCCACAACCCAAGCACCAATGGTGGCTGTTTAACCCTCCTTATGAAAGAATAGTAGTTCAGCACATCTTTTCCCAGCAAAAGGGGGTGGTAGTTTTGTCCTTTCTGCAGCTGCTGGCCTAGGGGGGCTGCTTATACTGCAGTTAGAGCCAGTGATGCTGATGTAATGAGGATCCATGCGTAGGGTGGAAACAAAATAGCAGTGGCCATACAGCTGCAAGCTGGCACTTTTTGCTCAAACACTGTGATTCAAGTGCTAACTTCAAATAAGGGATAATTTAATTTTCAGAATGTTCCTTCTACAAAGAACCTTCCCAGAACCATCTGCTGCTGCATACTAATGTGTATCTGAATTTTAGGATGCCCTCATGAGGAAATATTTTCATTATTAAATTGCTTTAGGCAGTCAGTTGGGGATGCTGGAATATTTGGAGAGAAACACATCTGGGATGCTGTATATATATGTTAAAGATGATGCATTAGTGGATGAATTTGCTAAATAAAATCCCATTCCCCATTTAAGGAATATTCCAAAACACTCCAAGCAGCAAGTAGTAATCCATGAAAGGGTATATTATTATTCAAAATATGTGACTCCGCTAACTGTGGTTGGATGGGGAATTACTGTAGTACTTTGGGGTTTAAACGTTCAGCTGCTTAAAGTTCTGTGGCTTTTCAGAACTTGGTTAAAATAAACAAACACATTTCCAACAGGGATTAAAATGTAGATCTTATCAAGTAAGATAAATTTTAAAGATCAAAAGGGTCCATAATCAAATCTGATTCCTGCATAACATGTCTCAGGAATTTCAGTATGGGTCACAAATTTCTGCATCAAGCCCATAACATTTATTTCTTTTAGAAATACATACAGTCTTTAAGGAGTTCAAGAGATGGAAAGACAACCATGATGGTCCGAGTAAGTTGTTACAATGGTTAATTATCCTCACTGAAAAATTGGTGCTTTGTTTCTATTTACATTTAACTTTGTTCTTCAATCACTGGCTCGTTATATCTTTTTCTGCTAGATTAAAGACCAGTCTGTCTGAACATCTCTGAGCTATTTCAGAGGGCCAGCTGCACCAACATATAAGCACTCTGAAACATGCTAAAAGCAGCTGAAGCACTCCAAAATAGTACCTGTTCTTTTTGAATGAAGTACTGTTGTGAGCTGATTCACTTTTTGTTACATGTGCACGGAGACACACGGAGAGCCTGCCAGCTTCCCAGATGCTAAGCCCTATTTTAGGTCCCAGGTGCTGCCAAGGCCCACTGGGACTCCCTTCCCCTCCCCCACCTCTCACCATGCCTTTGACAACCAGACCCTTGCTTACTCTCTCTGCCATCTGATCTGAACTTAAACTGGAGCTAGGCTTAAACTTCTGCCAGCTCCCAGGGGAACCACTAGAGTTGGGCCCTCCAGCCCTAATTCTCTCTACCTCTTCACTCAACTTTGAGGGAGAAAGGAGAAGTTTGGGGGATTTGAGGTTGAAAAATTGGGATCAGTGTGGTGAGGAGCACCCTCCCCCATCACTTTTGTCCTGCTTTACCTCTCCATTTGAGAGCTGCTTGCTCTCCCCTCCCCTCCCCTTTCTGTGTGGGGAAGGAAGAGTGGGAAGTGGAGCTGCAGGTTGGTGCAGCCTCCTCTACCTTCTCCTGGCTGGCGCTAGAAACAGCTGCAGCATTTTGAAATGTCCTAGCCAGGAAACAGCACAGGGGCCATACGTACATTTCCCCAGCTGTAATTATGCCTTTTTTAAGCATTTCCATGTGCATTTCACTTGCAACTTTTTCAAAAGTTGCTTCTGTCCACAACTTTAAATGCATATAAAACTGCTCAAGTGTCTCTTGCAACCCGTGTTTTGTTTAGAACTTAATTCATACTTGTAGCTGTTTTCTGAACACTTTCTAACTTTTGAACACAAAACTTTCCTTCTCTCATGGTTTTAAAATTAATGTAAAACTTGGCTTTGCAGTCCTTTTGTCAAAAGAGACTAAAATTATTACCTGCTTGAGCTTTCTTCTGTCAATATTTGCTTTTAAAAAAATTTCCTTTTCTGCCACTGGGCAAAATTGGTATTTTTCAAATGTCTTATTGTAAAACAAGAGAGCCTTGGAGAGCTGGAAATCTGGAGGTTACTTGCCTAGGATGGGAGAACCCAGGTTCAAATCCCTGCTCAGAATCTGCGCAGAGAGTTGGTTTCTAGGCTAGTGTCTGCTCTCTCTTGTTTTGACCAGAAATTCCATCCTGAGAAGTCTTCCTGAGGAAAGTTTCATTAAAAAACTGATTGGTACAAGTTTAGATTTCAACAAATCAGCATTTTCCAATGAGAACCAGTTTTCTCTAAATATTTCCTACCAGTCCCATTGGGTGCACAAAAGCAATGCTCCTAAGGAAGGGTTTTGTTATTAACAGTACTCAGAACCAGTTTTCCAGAGCAAAACCTCTTCATATACTACCAAAACCAGTATGAATAAAATTGTTCGTCAAAGGTGGCAGAGATCCAAGAGCTAGGTTTAAAACTTTTATTGCACAATCTCTTATTTTCATCACATTGAAAAGAGTCCACATTATAAAACCAGCATATTAAACGTGCTTGTGAGACAATTGTGATTAAACAAGGTTATTTATGTAGTGCGGAAAAGTCTTATAGTTCATTGGGAAAATTAATTAATTTCTGCTTGGTTCCCCTGACAATTCCTGCCCTTCTGGGCATGCTGCTCTGGTTTACTCATACTCAGTTAAGCTTTCTATGCCTGACTGAAACTGAATTCAAATAAGTTAGGATCAAGACACCTATTATAACCACAAAGTTAAGTAATTAACTGAGCTTTTCTGGATAGATTTTGTTTAAAAGTTGTTTTAATCAAATCAAGTTGATCCAACACCACAAACTTGCCTTTATCAGCTGTGGTTTGAAGTGAGGGCTGGTGATTGATATTGACATGTATGTCAACATACCATATTGCTTTCTGCAGTTTTAGTGTTTGCCTTTCATTTTTTAATATTTGAGGTTCTAATCTCAAGTGATTATGTTGACGTGGTTTTCAGTTTTAATGTGAAGCAGACCAATCCAGTAGCTCGAATGAGGGGATAGAATCTGACTAACTTAGAATAAAAAGTTCAAAGAACAAACTCAAAAACAAATAAATTTGTAGTGTGCAGCTGAATTAAGGAAGGATGGAAATATAAAGGGGAAAAAAACTTTAGGAAAGAGCAAGGACTGAGTCTTAACTTTTGAAGTTTCTCCCAACTATTGGCTTTGCAGAAAACCTCAGTGCAATAGCAGAAGTGTGCTGGTTGGGTATATCTGGGGTCCTAATTGTATTTCATTTTCTTAGATGATAAAGATGTCTAGTTATTGTGCTTTGTATTCCATTAGTTGGAAATGTATGATGTCTTTATCAGTTATTTTAAGATCTTTGCTTCAGTGTAATTATCGCCTCATTTTATTCTTTTGACTGAAAGGATCTTGCAAAAGCAGCACTGTAGCCTTTTGTAGTTTTGCCTTAGCTAGGTGTTCTGCTGCTTCTATACCCATCTCAGCCTGCATATATCCATTTTTAGCAGAGTTGCTTCTGCTCCTGACCATCCTCTGAGAGAGAAGAGTCTTACAACACAGATGGCCTTCCCAGGAAAGTAAACTCAGTCTTAAGCAGAGGTCTAGGCATGTAGACATCTCTTGGGGGACAGTGCTATGAATAATACCTGTTTCTTAAGTAACGCTTTTCACCAGCAGATATCACAGTATTTCATAAAAGAGATCAATATCATGGGGAAATTAAGGCCCAATGTCACCAAATGACTTGCCAAAAGCCAGACTGACTTGTCAGGGTTTGAACTGGAAATTCTGAGCCTCCGTCCAAGGTCTGTCTACTAAGTCAGTCTGCTTCCTTCATGTTTGACCTCTTGGTTTCCTTGTTGCTAAAGGCAGATCAGTGCATGAAGGTTGCATGATGTGATTTTATGAAAAAGACAGATCCGTAATGGAAGCTATTTCATGGAATCAGTTCTGTTTCCTGTGGGGAAAATAAGATGGCTTGTAGGAGCAAAAATGAAGATACAGCATCTACAGAGAGAGACGCAAGAGAAAATACCACGTAAATGGTAGCAGATCTCCTGGTTCTAGGCCTATTTAATCCAGCTTGTTTGCATTTTGAATAATTTATAAATACCA